TGAACTGCTGATCTAGCAGTAGCCTGCAGTGCTGCATTTAACCACTGCGCCACTGGAATACCGGTTCCAGTTACAGTGTCATTCATAGGTTGTTACGTGTCTGCACGACAAGGCAACAAATGTATTTATGGTGTTAATTGAAAACTGTGACCAGGTTACTGTATAGAGAGCAGTGTTTCTCAATCTTGACAACTTTAAGATGTGTAGACTTCAATTCCCAGAATTCCCCAGGTTGAGAAACACTGGTTTATGGTGTAAGGAAAATGACGTGGACAGAAATTTGCAGGAACTGTTTCCTAGGCAAAAAGGTTGAAGCATTTTTAAAGTCCAAAGCGAGATAACATTTTGGAAGCTGCTCAGACAGATACCTTCCTAATTCACTTGAGTATAATAATCAAGGGGGTGGGAGAAATAAAATGAGACTTGCAAGATTCTCAATGAAATAATATTAGCCTTCCTGTAGAGTTGTACCACTCTGGTCTATGGACTGCCATTTGGATTTTTTTTTTTTATCATATAGATCACGCATAATCATCTATTGTCAGTGGTTCCCAAACTTCTTTTGGCCATGCCCCACCTAAGCATCTCTAAAATCCTGATTATCCCCACCCACCTCCCCACTCTGACATATAATTCTTACTTTACTCATAAAGTGAACGCTACTCACACGGAGAAAGCCTAAAAGACCATTAACTTGGTTTTTAAAGGTTCAAATTGCCCCCATTAAAAATCAAATTGCCCCCCCTATGGGGCATGGGCCCCATGTTGGGAACCACTGGTTTAGATGTAGATCATCCATTTTCAAATAGAGGACATATGGACTGCTCAGGATCTCAGGATATGTCAAAAGTGCCAGTAGTGAAAAATATGTAACTGGGAGCCATAACATTCGCTAAGCGGCCACAAAAATGCAAAGTATATTCTATTGCACATATTGCCTTATTGATGCCAGTAAACACACCAATTACTGTCCTGTGTTTTTTATCCAGTAATGGCACAAGAGTGAGAGGATGGGTGGTAGCACCACAGGAGAAAAACAAGGTTGGAAGTGGGCCACAGATTTAAAAAAAAAGATTGAGAAACACGGTTCTATGTTATAGTTTCTAGAAATTATTTGTTAATGAGTTTTTCAAAAAAAATACAATTTTATTATTTTTTTAAAAAACATCAGAAATAATAGATTTGGATTTTATAAACCTGATAGCATTTTTAAGTTTATACTAACTTATATCCAAACACAGCATTCCCTTCCCACCAGTTTACTTAAAGCCTCACCTGTCTTTGCTATCACCTCTAGCTGAAAATAGCGTGTCTGATTTTTCCACTGGCAGGAATAGTTCCCAGCATCTTCAAGGGTTACTTTTGGAAGGATCAAAGAAACAACACCAGCATTCATAGTCAGTGAGTAGCGAATGGAACGGCGTATTGTCATATTAATCAGCACTATATTTTGATGTAGTGAATCATGCTGAATCCAGAGCAGTGTCCCCTTTGTCCAATTTCTATGTACTGGGGCATCACAGGAAAAATATTCGGGATCCATTGCTGAATGAGGCAGGTCTCCCTGGGGTTCTATGGAAGAAAAGTTAGTAATAATAAGTTGAACTGAAGCTCAATTTTACATTAATTCCAGTTATGAAACTTGAAGGCATTTTAAATTCTCGATGCATTTTGGCTATACTTCAGATAGCTCAGAAAATTAAAGAGTAATGATTCTGTTTTGAAATTTTTTTAAAAATGAAATTAAAATAATTGTAAGGTTCATTCCATGGTAGTTGTATGTGTCGCCTGTCACCTTCATGTTAACAGTCAGACATTAGGAATATTTTCTAGGCTACTGCTAGATCAGCAGGTCAGCGGTTCAAATCTCACCGGCTCAGGGTTGACTCAGCCTTCCACCCTTCC